CGCAGAATCACCACCCGACCAAACCCACTGCCAGCGAAGGGTGCCGGCTCATAGCGACCTGCAGCACGAAGGGGAGACTGCCCCACAGTTTACAGGCTGGGCTTTCCCACAGAAGCGTACTGCCACTTCTCCCTCCTGTGGGTTTGGGCCATCTGCCTCTTGGATAGCAACTGATGAACTACTGTGCCAACAGAGCTTCTTGAGCACAGGATAAACAAACAAACAAACAAACAAACAAACAAACAAACGAAACAAAAACAGCCCCACCCCCACCTTCCCAAACCTACGCCACCAGGCGGATTCCAATTCACGGCAGCCCAACAGGACAAGGGTCTGATGCCTCTTTGGGTCCTTGAAATGGCAGAACTTTTTAGGAGCTGAAAGTCTCCTCTTTTTTCTGAGGAGTAGAAGGTGGGTTTGCATGGCTGACCTACCAGTTAGTAGCTGAATGCTGAACCCACTTTTGGAGCACAGGATAGCCAGGCTTTGGATCAAAGGCACAGGGGTCCCCACCCACCCACCAACCAACCAATCAACCAACAATAGAACTCATTGCCCTTGAGTGGATTCCAACTCATAGCGACCCTACAGGACAGGGCCAAACTGCCCCTGTGAGTTTCTGGAACTGTAATTCTTTATGGGAGTAGCAAACCTCATCTATTTCACTTGGAGCAGCTGGTGGTTTTGAACTGCTGACCTTGTGGTTAGCAACCGGTCTCACAACCACTACACCACAAGGCTCCTATTATTGTGTGTGTGTGTGTGTGTGTGTGTGTTTTGAAGGTGGGGAATATAAAAGGGAGGTGAAGGTGGGGGAAGCCTAGAGAGTAGGGAGGGGTTCAAAGCCACCTTCTCTGATAGGCGACTCTGGGTCACAGGTGGGGGTCTGGTTTGGGTTCCGCCACATCAGAGGGGGTCTAGGAATTACAGGGGTCCAAAACCCCAGGAAGGATGTCTGGGAGGGGGGCCAGTGTCTGTGAGGAGGGAGGGCAGGGCAATAGGGTGGGGTGTGCGTGTGGGAGCATCAGGAAAGATTATAGGCAAGAACCCTGTGGAGAGGGCCCTGGGGAGACGAGATACCAGGATGAGGCGACCCTGGTCACTGTGCTGGGGGGCGGTGTCTCTGCTGGGTCTTCACATGACCCCCTCCCCCATGAAGACAAGTCTTACCTTCTGGCCTGGGGTCCCTGGAGCTCCAGGTGGGCCGATTTGCCCGGGAAGACCAGGGGGGCCCTGGGGAGAACAGAGAGGCACATGGGAGAGCTCGCTGACCGAGGATGAGGGCCTGTCCCCAGGAAGGCTCGTAGACACTGGCTCAGAGAGAACAGTGCTTTCACACCATTTTTCCCCCTGCAAAGCACGAGGCACCTGGGGCAACCCCATTGGGGTACATGGGGGCAGAGATGCTGGACTAAAATAGGTTCTTCCTCTCCTGCCCTCTAGGGCACCTGGTGGAGGGGTCTCCCGGGGCTCAAAGCACACAAATCTGCCGGTGTCTGAGACCTTCAGAGAACAGGGCGTATTGAACATCTTCAGCAAGCTATCTGTTTGCATGTCAATGACCAGCGGATACAGGACACATACACCCAAGGGAACACGACCCAGCAACAGGAGAAGAAGTGAACCCTGGCAGATTCAACAAGGTGGATGGATCTCAAACACATCCTACCCCTGAGCAAAGGTAGGGAGCCCAGGGACACGCTCCTCTCACTCACGGCCGATGCCGGCTCACAGTGAGCCTACAGGGTCGGCTAGAAGCGCCCCTGTGAGTTTCCGACACTGTCACTCTTTACGGGAGTCGAAAGTCCCATCTTTCTCCCGAGGAGCTGCTGGTGGTTTTGAACTGCTGACCATGTGCACCGTAGCCCAATGGGTAACCACTACACCACCGGGGCTCCATAACAGTTGTCATTAGGACCTAGCACTTCTAAAGGCACTAGAACACCCGGCCGTACAGTGAACCGGTGACACCTGCTTCAGCCCTGACTCTCCACCTGTGCCTGTTTGCTGCAGGGAGAACTCAAGCCCTTGTTTCCAGGCCACCCTCCCCGATACCCCAGTCTGTGGCCGGAGGAAAGCAAGGGAAGAAGAAGACTTACCATCAAGGCCAGTGTCCGGATTTCCTAAAAAAAAACCCCAAAACACCACACTGTCAGTTGTCACCTGGAAGTTCACCTCTGCCAGGTTAAGTGTCCACTGAGACTGGTCCTCTAAGAGACCAGTGGGTCTTCATGGCTCCTCACCCCACACGACCCCTGGCAACCTTTTACCTCCAGGGGATCACTAGATACAGAACTGGTTTCACTGTTTCACAAGCTGATCGCTGCTCTGAAGGTGGTCCCGGGACACACTCACCCCAAGTCCAACTCATGCCATCGAGTTGGTTACAACGCACAGCAACCCTCTACGGGCTTTCTGAGACTGTAGATCAGGGGTCCTCAAACTTTTTAAACAGGGGGCCAGCTCACTGTCCCTCAGGGCCGGACTATAGTTTAAAAAAAACTATGAACAAATTCCTATGCACACTGCACACATCTTATTTTGAAGTAAAAAAACAAATGGGGCAAAAACACCCGGCGGGCCGGATAAATGTCCTCGGCAGACCACATGTGGCCCCCGGGCTGTAGTTTGAGGACGCCTGCTATAGATCTTCACAAGAGCAGACGACCTACATCTTTTTTGGCTAAGAAGCAGCCGCTGGGTTTGAACCGCTGACCTTGCAGTTAGCAGCTCAGCACCTACCCCACAGCCCCAGGTGCACTACACTGGACTGCCAATGTTTCCCTCAGGTTACAGGAGGAAGGATGCAGGTTCCCTTATTCTTTCCAATTGCCTACCGGGGGCCCACCCTTCTCTCTCCTC